TGAATAAGCCAGTAATAGGTAAGGAAACTGAAGTGGCAATAAAAACAACAAACAAACAAACAACAAACAACTGTACCAACTAAGAAAAGCCCAGGTCTGGATGAATTCACTGCAATATTCTGCAAGAACTTCAGGAAATATATAACACCAACACTTCTCAAGCTCTTTAATGAAATTGAAAAGGAAGGAGAACTATGAAAGTCATTCCTAGAAGCTAGCATTATACTGATTTCAAAATAGGACAGTCCTAAACAAAAAAAAAAGAGAACTACAAGCCAATCTCTCTAAAGAACATAAGACACAAAACTCTTCAACAAGATACTGACAAACAGAATGTAACAAATCATCAAAAAGATCATACATCATGAAATAGGCTCTATCCCAGGGATGTAAGGTTGATGCAACACACATAAATCAATAAATGTAATTCATCAGATAAACAAGTCAGAAGAAAACCACATGTCATCTCAACAGATGCAGAAAAAGCCTTTCACAAAATCCAACATCTTTTCATGATAAAAACTGTATGTATGATAAAAATACATATAGCAAGTTCTTATCACAATTTGATAAATGCCATACAAACCTACTACACTAACATCATATTAAATGGGGAAAAACTGGAAGCTTTCTCTCTAAAGTCAGGCAAAAGACAAGGATGTTCACTATCACTACTCTTAGTCAGTGTGGTGCTTAATATATTAGAAGAGGAATTAGGCAAGAAAAAGAAATGAAAGTGATATATATAAAAAGAAATCAAATTGTCATTATTTGCAGATATCATGATCCTCTACATAGAAGAACCAAAAAATTCCACCTAAAGACTCCTAGAATTAACAACCAAATTCAGCAATGTGGCAGGAAACAAAAATCAATAGAGTTCCTATATACCAATAATAAGGAGCTCACTGAGAACAAAATTAGGAAAAAAATACCATTAATAATAGTACCAAGAAAAATTACTTAGGAATTAACCTAACCAAAGAAGTGAAAGACCTTTACAACAAAAACTACCACTCTGAAAAAGCAGATCAGAGAAGACATAAAAAAATGCAAAGAGGTATTTCTTGCTCCCAGATAGGCAGAATCAATATATACAAAAATGACCGTACTTCCAAACTATTACACAAGTTTTAACACAATCCCAATCAATGTATCAACAGCATTCTTACATAGAAGATTCTAAAATTCAAAAAGGACTAGAAGAGACTCATGGCAAAAATCATCCTGGGCAACAAGAGTAAAGTGAAAAGCATTATAAATCTGGATATTACATTATAATACAAAGCTATATGATCAAAATGGCATGCTACTGGCACAGGAACAGACATGTGGATAAATGGAACAGAATAGGGGCCACTATTTGATCTCTGACAAAAGGTCCAATAACATACACTGGAAGCTGGGTGTGGTGGTGCACTCCTATATAATCCCAGCACTTGGGAAGCTGAAGCAGGAGAATCATTTGCCTACTCAAGACCAACCTGGGCTACAAAGTGAGCCCAAGGCCAGCCTGAACTGCATAGTGAGACGTGGTCTCAAAAAGACTAAATAAATAACATACACTAGAGGAAAGATAGCTTTTTTAATAAACAGTGCTGGGAAAACATCCAATATCCATATTCAATAAATTGAATCTAGACCCATATATCCCCCCACAATATACTAAATTAAAATTAAAATGGATCAAATATCTAAGTTTTTTTATAATAAAGACACAATCTACTGCAAGACAAAATAGGTACAAGTCTTAGAGATCATAGATGTAGGCAAGGACTTTCAGAACAGAACCCTGGTGACACAAGGAACAATATCAAATCAAATTAGAAAGCTGCACAGTAAAAAAAAACAACCAGAGGAGTAAAGAGAAAACCTATAGTATGGGGGGAAAATTCCTAGCTTTCCTCAGACAAAGAAAAGAAAAATATACAGAGCACCCAAAAAAAAAAAAAAAAAAAATTAGGCCCCCTTACTCAAATAAAAGATCTGACACTTCTCAGAGAAAGTACAAATGGCCAACAAATACATGAAGAAATGTTCAGGACCTCAAGCCATTAACAAAATGCAAATTAAAACAACCCTGGAATTCCATCTTACCCCCAAAAGTATCACACTAAGAAATCAAATCATACCAAATGCTGGTGTGACTGCACTGAAAAAGGAATTCTGCTACACTGGTGGGAATGTAAATATACAATCACTATGGAAAGCAGTATGAAGAGTCCTCAAAAAACTAAACTTAGAAATTCCATTCAGGGGCTGGGGATTTAGCTCAGCGGCATAAGCGCCTGCCTTGCAAGCAGGCAGTCGTGAGTTCGATCCCCGGTACCAATAAAAACGAAAAAGACAAAAAAAAAAAAAAAAAAAAAAAAAGAAATTCCATTCAACTATGCCTCTCCTAGGAATCTTCCCGAAATGGTTAGACACATTGCACTGATATATTCATACTAATGCTTACAGCATCGTAATTCATAATTGCTAGATACTGGAAGCAAGCTCTATGCCCGTCAATAGATGAATGGATAAAGAAAATGTGGTATTTGCACACAATGGAGTACTACTCTGCCATAAAGAAGGACAAACTTGGATATATTTGTAAGACAATGGATGCATCTTGAGACTATGTGAACTCAAATAAATCAGATGCACAAGCTTGAATATCACATGATTTCTCCAAAATATAAATAAAGAGCAAAATAAAAGACAAGTAATTAGAAGTAGGAAAATAAATCTCAAATGGGAAGAAGATCAAGACATGGGGAAGGAAGTAGGAGAAACAGGAGAGAAGGGACAGATGAAAGAAGAATTAGAACATGCTGGTACACGTACCAGATTCCCGAGAAGAATGTGATCATCTTGTACTGAAAATAGGTACAAATAGAAAATAAAAACAAAAAATTTACACAAATCACAACCTAAAATAAAGCAATTTTTAACAATAAAAACAAGAAAGGAAATTGGTACTTCCTTTATAGGATTTTAAAACATTATAAATCCATACTAGCAGGGCGTGGTGGCACATGCCTGTAATTCTAGCATTTGGGAAGCTGAGCATCACTGAAAGTTCAAGGCCTGGCTGGGCTACAAGGTGAGATCCTGTCATAAAACAAAAAGACACACCAGAACAGAACAGACCAGAAACAATACAACATAATCTAAACTAATGAAGACAGCTTATTTCTGGCAAAATGACAGACCCATAGATGAATGGATGAAAACAGCCCAGAAACTGAATCACGTATATGTGCTCATTTGATTTTGACAAAAGTGCCAAAGACATCTATGGAAGAAAATCTCCTCAGCAAATGTTGAATCAACTGGGTGTCTGTATAGAAAAAATGAACATCAACCTTTTTCTCACACCAAATACAACACTGTCTGGAAATGAGAGCACAACTCAAAAGTAAAAGCTAAGACTATGAAATGTAAAGGCAGGAGATAAACAGAAAACAATGTCTGCAATCTTAGAGGAGCTGAATTCTTACACAGAATACAAAACCATGGAATATAAATGAAAAAATCACAATGCTAATCTTCAACAAAATTAAAAATTCTTTGAAAAATATTATTTAAAAAAATAAAAAATAAGCCGCAAAATAGGAAAAAGTTCACAACATGTATGTCAGAGGACTTCACTGCAGAGTATAAAATATAAATCATAATGAGATACCTACCACAAAACACCTATTAGAATGGCTAATATTTAACACAGACAATGGTTCTAAGTAAGGGTGAGAAAAAAGAACTACTGAAATGCTCACACAGAGGTGTGCTATGCTATTCACTCTGGAAACCAGTTGTATATTTTCTTAAAGTGATGTATATATCCTTAACCAAGAACAAGCCATTATGGTCCTGGATAATCACTCAGGAGAAGACGTATCCATACACACCTTTGTGGCAACTTTTAAAAGTCAAAAACTGAAAGTGGAAAAGCCCAAATGTCTATCAACAGGTACACATTTCACCAACTGTGACACCAACTGTGATATATTCACACTATTCAGTAACAAAAAGGACAAAACTCTGGATGGTATACACAACTTGGCAATGTCTCCAAGTCACCATGCAAAGTTGAAGAAACCAAACCAGAAAGAATGCTTACCATATGGTGCTATTCATACAAAAATTCTATAAAATGCAAGTATCCCCTAATGACAGAAGGTCCCTAAGAGAATGGAGGTCAGGGGTTATAAAGAGCATGAGGAAATGCCTGCGGGTAAAAGAGAAGCTCAGGTGTTGACATGCAAAACTTATGAACTGGAGACCTTAAATACACGTAATTTGTTGTATTTTAATTGTTCTTCAGTAATTTTGTGGGGAAAAATTTAAATCAAGTACCACCCTATTGTACCATTCAGCAATTATGAGCTAAGATGAAAATGAAAGCAAGGCAGATACCCTTGTTTTAAAATCTACTGTCAGTCGCAGGCTTGGAGAGATACTGTGGTAAAGAAATTAGCATGCTATTATGACTTACAGGTTAAAAATTTTTCAGGTAATTTGTTCTTAGAATAGAAAACTTGCTGAATTTTACTTAATGTTACCAAATCAACTCTGAGGCTTAAAACTTTACTGTATTTCTTGAGTATCTGAGTCAAAATAGATTTTGTTTCTAAAAATTAATTAAAGCAGGACAAATAAAATTAACTGTGCAAAACAAAAATTCACAGGACGTACATCAAAAGGTTAATGGTAAGGTTATCCTTTGGTACTAGAATTTTCTGTTGTTTTTATTTTCTTCAAATTGCCTTTCTATACGTTTAAATGTTGTAATTGTTACTATTGTAATAATAAATAAGTAATGTTACTTTTATAATAGATGGCAGACTGCTACTTTCAGTATATATTTAATAAATAGTTTCAGGTCACCAGAATCTAAATGATATGCTGGGGAGAAAAATCAAGTTTCAATGATTCAAGAGGTAACTTTCCTCTTCAAATGCAATGTCTTAGTATGAAAAATATCAGTAAGAACCACTGTTTTAATAGCTACATACCCGGGCAATGCAGTAGTCCTTGGGATTTTCTTTTTCCAGGCCATACTTCTCTAAGGCTTCAGCCACAGCAAAGTCTGCAGTGTCTGTAGTAGACAGCAGGATTGTCTTGTAGGGAATGTTTGGTTTTAAACTATCTGCATAAATTCTCAATGTTCCACCTAAAAAAATATTTTGACGTATATGAGTACAACTTCACATCAGTAAAAGGGATAGTGACTGTTAGCAAAGCTTATGAAAAGAACAATGGGGTGCCAGCTGCAGGAGTGCCCACTGCATCAGCAGGAACCTGATGACCTAGTGACACTGCACCACTGAGCAGTCTTCTGTAATAATGCAGACTATGTGTATCTTCTCGCACACAAATGAATATACAAAGTGACGAGCTGGTTCTCAATACAGGAAAAAGGAGGACTGAGAGGGTCTCTGTAGTACAGCCGTCCTCCACACACACCTATTTCCTCCACTCCCCCCATTTCCTCAAGTAAACAAAAAGCCCAATAACGTTAAATATTAGTCCCACTGAACAAATCTACTTTTAGAAAATGATCTAGGAACCGTGACATTCCAAGTGCTCAAGCCCAAAGAATTTTCTTAAGGGATATATCACCAGAGTGGGGCTGCTTTCACTTCCAGGAACTACAAACCAGACAGTCATTTTTAGCTGTGAACTCAGATGAGGGTGGTGGGGGAAATCAGCCAACTGAGAAGTCTGAGATCCTGAACTTTTCCTCAGTTCTCTACATAGTTCTTCTTAATGGAAACCGACACATACTGTTTTTACTTTTAGTGTCACTATCTGCTTCCTATGTTTAGTGCTTGACCAATAAGCCCTGAAATCTTAAACAGAAAAAACTTAGGCATAATACTTTTAAATTTCCTTAATATTAACCACAATCAGTTGTTTTGCTAATAGTATTTAGTCGCTTAAGCATTCCTAGGACTTTCCTCAATCACCCCTTTAATAGATAAGCTCTGTTTTGATATTCAGCTATTTCTCTTTCTAATTCTTTAGGGTCTTTTTAGTTTTGTTTTGTTGGCTCCTCTTAATTTTTGTTTGTCCCTTAAATTTTTTATTACCTGTGTGCTTTCTATCCAAACAAATGTAATCCAAACTCAGTGATGCTGCCTCCCATCCACAGAGCACTCCCAATGATCAATTCTCCCTGGAATTGTTGAGCAGGAATCCAGGTGAGGCATTGAGTCACAGTCTGGATCCCTGCCAGCATCTCCCCCGACAATGAAACAAAACCTGGCTCCCACCTCTTTCATTCCACAAACATCTACCAGTTTCATTCTGAATAAAACCCAGTGTCTTAAAGTCATGGCATTCTTTACTTTTACTTTGACATTCTTTACTTTTTCTCTCTGGCCCCTGTCCTATATGGGCAATACAATGTTTTCATGGGTGCCACTTCTCATCACAGTATTTCCATGCAATCTATCTAGATCTGAAGCTGAGGATAAATTGAAAGCCTTCTAGATCTCCAGCTTAAAACTCTTCAGCAGCATGTTAATGAAACATAATCAAATATCCTATCAAAGTACCCCCTACAGCAATCAAAAATAAATATGGGTATTGGGACACACATGTTAAGTCACATGCAACACACTTCCTATTTTTAAAAAATGCACAAGTATGTTGCACTCTTATTTGAATTAAAACATATTTTATAATCCTAGCTATTTGGGACACTAATGTAGGGGAATCCCAATTTTGGTGCTACCTGGGCAACTTAGCAAAATTATGTCAAAATGAAAAATTTTTTAAATGGCTGTACTATAGTTCAGTGGTCAACCTGGCTAACACATGTAAGGTCCTGAGTTCAGTCTCAGCAACCATCCAGAATTTTTATGGTAAGGAAAAAAAAAAACCCCAACAATATTTTAAAACTTTTTTCCTATAAAAATATAAAATCATGAGAATATCAAGAGGGCAGATGCTACTTGGATATATCTATACTCTAAAAGGTCTGCTGTATACTACTGAAGCATATACATATTTATACATATATATGCATGTGTTTTTTATAATTAAAAATATTAAGTGACATAAAAAACAGGATATTAGGGGACTGGGGGTTTAGCTCAGCAGCGTAAGCGCCTGCCTTGCAAGCAGGCAGTCATGAGTTCGATCCCCGGTACCGATAAAAAGGAAAAAAGACCAAAAAAAAAAAAAAAAAAAAAACCAGGATATTGTAAGCTAACCATCTTTCTCATGACTCATATACCCCTGAGCACCTACTTTAGTCCTCAAGGGGCCATAGCCTTACTTCCAGAAACTCCTTTCAGGAACAATGTCAAACTGCAGCACCCATGTCTTTAGGTCTGGGTGTGTGGTTAGTTAGCACCATAGACATTTCTGAGTGTCGCTCTTGTTCTTTTAAACATTTTTGATACTTTTCTTCTTCTTCGTATTTTCTCTGCCTCTCCCAATTTTTTTCAGTGCATATATTTATAAAATATTTCAAATTCTTGACAGAAAAAGACAATACAATTGAAAACGTAATCTTTACGCTCTCAAAAGTACCCATATTAAAGTATTAATGGAATCAGGAAGTCCTTCACTCCCCTAGCTTTTCTTAAATCACCAACACAATTCCTGTGAAATACCCAATTTCAGGGCATGAAGAGCTGGAATCAGTGCACAGCGCTGCAGCAGCAAGAGAATCGCAGGACTAACCTCCACCCAGCTCCAGGGTGGTGTAGAAGTCTCTGTTGAAATGAACTACGGAGCCCCAACTCCTCAGTATGTGACAGGGTAGGACTCAGCGACCAGGCATTTTAGCAGAGTTTATCAAGCCTGCCTCCTGAATGGAGACCAAAATGGAGACTCCTATGGAAACACATGAGCGTACTGCACCTCAGACTAAGCGCAAGCATGTGCACCGCCTCCTCTTCAGACCTAAACTGCTGCTACGGATGGTATCAGACAGCAGCCGTAAACACAATCTACACAGGTAATAAAACCTTCTGGTTCAGACTTGGATTCAAGACCCAAAAAAAAGTCTAGAATTAAGCAATCCTTTCCACTAAAACTACTATAAATAAGACTTCAGAGAAATTGTGCCAATTCTCACACCCAAAAACCTGTAACTACAAATAGGCTATCAAGTGTACAAAATGTAACTTTAAACTGTGAAGCATCCAAATGCAACATTATATTAAATATAGAGTTAATGGAAAAAGACTAAGCTTTTTTAGGAAGGTTAGATCAATATGATGATTTAAAAATAAACTCAAATGGGTATGCAATTTTTTTAACAAGTAAAACTGTAACTCAACAAATTTTTAGTATTTTCTTTGCTGAATACAGTTATAAGTCAAAGTAAAAATTTTATGTCAAATAGTTAAAATATCCAATATAAAACCAAAACCAGGCCAAGTATGGTGGCAAATACTTGTAATCCTAGCACTCAGGAGGCTGAGGCAGGACTGCTGCAAGATCAAGGCCCAGCCTGAACAACATAGTAGGACACTGTCCAAAAAACCAACCAACAAACAAACACCGAAACAAAATACAAAAGACAAACATTAGTTTATAACGCCAACAGTAGTCACTGGTTATTATTCTCTTTATAATCTTCATTTCTCTAAAAAATAAGAAGCAAGCTCCTGGATATATTAGCAAAGAAAAAAACAAGGTAGGATAAAAGTATGCAAATACACTGCCATTTATAGGGTGGGAAAGCTGGACCTCTCTCTAACCGTACCTTTTTTTATAGATGTAACTTTGAAACTATTAAACAAATTTAAATTTTAAAGGAGCAAACCTCTAAAGTAAAACAAAACAAAACAAAAAACTCTAAGTCAATAGAGACAGAATTATGTTAAAACATACTACTTCATAGAGACATGTCATAGAAACAGAATTATACCACTTCAACAGCATGTCTACACAATACATGCTGCAAACATATTTCACAAAAATCTTAAAATGTTTCCGTATCATACTATTTATGTATTATTTTTATTTTGATACTTTTATTATGCATCACAGAGAAAAATAATTCTGTTAAGAAGAATGTTACTATGAAAAACATCCACACTTTCCAGAAATGAAAACTCCTTAGAGAAGCAGCTGCCTCAAAGCTTAGGCTGCATGTGCTCACATGCGTAGATAACCTGGCACAAAAGCAAGCCATGGAGAACTAATTTAGGAGTCAGAACAGAAAATGCACTAGATCAAAAACATTCGAGTTTTAAATCCAGAAGTGCAATAAAAAGTCTTAAAAGGCACTGGTCAACTTCAGAGGATACTAATGTAAGTATTCTTACCCTGTTTCTGTATCTATACCTATACTTATATCTACATCCAGCCAAGGGAACAGAGAAAATAAAAGGAAACAATGGTAAATATCATCAAAGGAGTAAGCAAATTCTCTGACAAATAACCTTGTTTTTTAAGAGCAACAAAACAAAGAATTACATACTACATATTAATCAATGTTAATGTGGAAATCTCATTCGAATTCCTATTCAAATAAAGGAATTAGCAGATGCAATTAGAAAAACAATGTATTTATTTGATCACAGTATGAAATTACTGTCCATTCTCTTACAGGTACTAATGGTACTGAGGTTACTTTTTTTGTTGTTATAAGAACCATCTTTCAGAAAAATACATCTAAATATTTACAGATGAAATAACAACAAATCTATAATTTATTTTAAAATATTATTTTGGGGTTTTCAGCAATATACACTGGAGTAGAGAAGAGGCATAAGTTATTATCAAAACCTTATGATGATAGGCACAGGAAAGTTTATTATATCTTCCCTTTTTATTTTGCATATGTTTTTAAATTTCCAGTTTTATTTTATTTTCTTTCGTTTTTTTAGTACCAGGGACTGAACTCACAACCGTGCGCTGGCCAGGCAAGTGCTGACCATAGCTGAGCTAAATCCCTGGTGTTTGTTTTGTTTTGTTTTTTAAGCTACGTGTGGGGCACAGTAGCACTTGTAATCCTGGCACCTGGCAGACCAAAGCAAGAGAATCGCTGAGTTCAAGGCCAGCCTGAACTACACAGTTAAGACTGTCTCAAAAACAGAACAAAACAAAAAACACAAAACAGCTATTGTGGGAAAAATATACAACTAAGAACAGAACTCTTCTACATAAAAGACATGTAAGATGCATTTGTGATTACAAAGCTTCCTCATCCACTGCTTTAGTTACGAAAACTTCACGCATGCATAAAGAGTACAATAAATATTACTCATAACAGGTATGCAGAGAAACAGTCTGCTTACCTGAGTCAGGCCTCCCGTCTGAGCTCCGGAACTCCTGCATTCTCTTTTCCAATTTTTGTTGCCTTCGTCGTTTCATTACCACCTCAGGGTTAGAAATTGTCCGAGTAAAGCTGGTTTCAGGCATGTCTTTGTAAACCTCAGCAGCTAGTCGGGAATTCTCACTTGTGAGAGAGAAAAATAAAAAAATAAAATAAAATAAACACCAATAGTATATTGTCTACTTTTCCTACTAGAAATACAAAAATCAAAGTGGCAGGTGTTACTTGACTAAACTAATATCCTAACAGGTCTGCTCTATATTATTTACAATGTACTAATTACTATATGATAGAAAATACAACTTTTTTGCAGTACACTCTAATATACTAAACTATGCAGAAATCTACCATTAAAATGTAGTTTATATAACTGAATTGTGGAAAAAAGCTAAAACAAGAATGCATAAATCACATACTTCAGTCATGTTTATCATTTTCCTGAAATAGCCCAAATAAGTGATAATTAAAACTAACATTCCAACCACACGATGTAAGAACTGAAAGCATTTTAGTAAGAACCTTTCTTAAAATTGTAGTAAATCTTGAAGAATGCAAATTTAATAAAATGACTTTTTAATGCCTAAAAGATTTACCAATATTCATTGAAGTTAAATTTTCAAAAAATTGTTACAACAGTTTCCATGGAAGGCATCAAACATACAAAATGATAAACATAAAATGAAGTATTAAAGTTAAGGCAAATAAACTTAAGTAAATAAGATTTTAATAATATAATTTATCATAAAAATAATCTAAAAACATTAAAATTTTAATCAAGTTGAACAACTTAAATCATTTTAGATAGTTCACTTTCTAAATTAAAGAATGTATCACCTCAGAAACTAAACTGATAAACAGAACAAACCATGAAACATTACAGTGTTTACTCTCCTTTTGACATTTTACAGATATAAGCAATGTATCTCTACAAGTATTTTTGTATTACTATTGAATAAAGCTTGTGCAATTCTATTCCCTAGGAATCAGACACCACTGCCTAATGGATTAACATCTAAACTCATGTTGACACAATCTAAAATGGGTTCAAGTTCTTCTCTATAGCTAACATCATTCACAGACAAATGGCTGATACACTCAATACTAAGAAGTCTTCGGCAATGGGGAAGTCTTCAAGAGGACACTGCACCACAAAAATATAAATAGTCAATAAAAACATGGAATATTATTTTAGTAATAATGAATTCAATCTGTTGAGAATATGAAATTCCACTATGTAGAGATAATACACTGTCCTGTATGTAACATTCAAGAACTTTAAGAGTATAAGGAAATGTACGGGCTCACAGATCATACTGGAGGAAGGGCTAGTCTGCTAATGGGCTAAGAGTATCCAGATCTGTCTGTCACCCAGCTGCTCTACAGTATCTCGCAAGGAAGTAATCAGATAAGTTCCCAAAGTTCTACAACAATGACACTCACTGGATTATAATTTATAATACCAAAATAATGTAAACAACCAACAAATGCACCAAAACGGGAACATATGACAGAATATCACATAAACACTTAAAACTTTTTCTGTGAGAAAAAAATATGCATGCATATATGCATACAATGTGTACATGCACACATGTGTCAGTGGCCAAGATTGATATATTTGTTTAAAATTTATATAAGTATGCAAAGTATACACATTTATTTGGAAAACAAACTAGATTAAAGTTCTTTGAGTTCATGCGACAACAGGTGAGTTCTTTACTCTTTCTTGCTAGTCTACACATTTTGACTTTCTTAAACCAATGCATATTACTTTAGCAACAAAAAAAGGTATTATTTAGAATATAATGTAGTTAAGACCAAGACAACAGCAAGCCACCTAAAACTAAGCAAATGATAACCAAATGACCTTAGCTAAAATGAATGAAAACTGTGACAGGCAAACTGGGAACTTTAGTCCACCTAAGGGGAAAAGCAGGTTATCTAACGTCTGATTTTCCTTTTGCCCTCAGCTCTGAGGTCAAAAGTCCAAACACTTTGGGACAGGTAAAGTACATCTATGATAAGGCTACTGTGACAGGACAAGGAATGCAGGAAACTAGAGATGGTACATTTGAACCTTGAAAAGATGCTAACTTCTCACCAGGCACTAAGCACATTTCCAGTACTCAAGCACTCACTACTGCTTCAGGGAGCAAAACCACAGAAGCAAGAGGAAAGGATCAAATGAAGTCGAAGAGACCACTGGCAGGAGAGCTTGCTTAGGAAAAAGCACACTGTTGAGGAGGGTCTGCCTAGGATAAGCAGGACAGCAGAGCAGTCTTTCTACCCTCAGGAGACAACCACTTGCAACAATCTTGCTTAGTTAGTTAAGACCTTCTGGTCACCCCTGATGTGCAAAGACACATGTCTGGTCAATCAACTTGATAGATCGCCATCCTTCCATAACTTACCTGGGTAAATTAATAAGTTTACTACACTAAAACTATCTAGATTAGAGAAAAAAAAACCAAAAAACAAACAAGGAATATTTCCAAAACTAACTTACTTATCATCCCCTTGGGAAGGTCTGTCCTCTTTCTCAGATGTCTGTCTCAAGGCCTCTTTTTCTCTCTTCTTTTTTTCCTTCTTTTCTTTCTTTGAGAGAGTTCTCTTGAAGTTCTGGATAACGCCTTCTTTTTCCTGCTTTTCAGGTCCATTACTCTGAGCCTTCTGATGAAAGTAACGTAATTACCAAACTGGTTACTACCCAAAAATTTTATGAACTTCTCTATAGCTTGGTTACTTTTGATTCATAAACTACAGTGAAAACCTAAGCTATATAGAACACAAGAGGTCTAGACTGGTGGGAATGTTCTTTACCATGAATGGACTGTTAAACACATGGGTGTTTTTGTCAAAACCAAGTGAACTATACATTATAGATCTGTTTAGCCACATATAAATTTTACCACACTAACAAGTGAACAAACAAAAACTCAAAACCAGTAAGAAAATTTGGGTAGGAATCCAAATTTTAATCTGAATTTTAATAAACAAAACTGCAAATAAGTTACCATAAAGTAACCTAAATAAAAAGAACCTAATGAAAATATGGGAATAAGCAGTCTATATTATCATTTACTTACTAGGTAGTTTTCTTTAACTTCAAAACAAATGTTAAGAGTAGCCCTAAGCTGACTTTTGTGAGCCAAAGTTCTATACACAGTGTTTCTGCAAAACTGTCTTCTGCCCAAATCTTGTTCCTCTTGCTTGCTTACCCCTAATTTGTATTTCAACCTAGAAATATGGCCTGCTACCAGACATTAAACCACTTTATTTTTACATAGAAAATTCATAGGTAGAGTATTAAGAAAAATAAAAAGAGTGTTTTATTGGAAAAGAAAACTCTTTTACTTTATAAGATGAAGAAGAAAAGAATGTCAATAATCTCACTTCCATTCACAGATACTTGGAACACTAGATTGGTCCTAAAGAGCACAGATATGCCATGGTAGCCTGGGGTCCACAGCAAAGCATACAGAGCAGTAATGCCCCTAGCTGAAATCATAGAACAAAATGAAATAAAACATGAACAGCCAAACAACAGAAACCTATTCTTTCTTTATAAGCATTTGCTGCACATAAGTCACTAGATCACAGTAATAAAAATTGTCAAGAACACATTTATACAGATAATCTAGGATTCAACGGGCAACACTGACATCACAGAAAAGAAAATTTTTCTGCTGCTCTAAGTGAAGGATAACAGTTTTAAGATTTTCTCAAAATATTAACCTTTGCATTTGCTACCATTTATCAATACTGAATTCTTGCATAAAATGACATGATTTAATATACAATTACAGTTATTTTCAAATTACACAAATATGTCATAGTATTACACACAAAAAAGAATGGTACTATAGAATCCCAATTATTCTACCACTTGAGAAAATTTCACAATCCTTCCATTACATCCTCCAAAGAAATTCAAAGAAGTATACTGATTCTTACAATTGTGCACATTATATAAAAAGGTCTTAAATATGCCTTATGAAGTCATATCTGAAAATTCACACATGAACAGGCCACGAAGTTTTCTTTTCCTTTTTGATTCTTATTAGAACATTTTGATTTTACAGCTATGGGGGAAAAAAAAACAAAAATGACTTGATCATTAACACTTTGGTCACAAAAGCTTATATAACTCTTCTTTTTAAAAGAGAGAGAAGCCAGGTGTGATGGCACATGCCTATAATCACAGTACGTGGGAAGCTGAGGCAGAAGCATGGCCACAAGTTGAAGGCCCACCTAAACTACTACATAGGGAGACCCCCATCTTACAACACCAATAATTAATTAATTAACAAACTTATTCATTTATGTATGTATATGAGAAAAGTAATGTTTGTCATTACTAAGTGAGGTAAATAATAAATACTTTCTAGGCGAAGGGTAAAACAGTGCCTGTGACAAAATATCTCCGCCTGTTTATTCCACTAGACTTGGCCCTGCACTATAGTATACGACACAGGCTCTTACCTTGGCAGGAACAGCATCGTTCTCATTCTTAAGGACAAATCTGCCCTCCCGATCATCTTTGTTCCAATTCAACTGCACAACTAGAGGTTTCTCATCAATGTCCAATCTTCTTTCTTCTTCAAAACATGAAAGGGAAAAAAAGAATAAAGTGTGGTTATTTCACGGCATTAGTGCAGTAATCAGCTTTATAATATACACTTAATTTATCAATGGAAAGTACTTTATTCCTCATGTATGTACTGACAGAATGGAACGCACTGTTCAGAATATACTGTCTTGGTTAAGCAGGCATGCTCCCTCAGAGAAATCGATTTCTCCAAGAGACCAGGAGGGTTGCTGGGGAATATGGTTTCAGAGAAAAGTGGGCTCCAGCTCCTTTCTGTGCCTCAGAACAGGTGTCTCAGCTAGTAGGAGCAGTTTTATCCTTCAGTGCCTTCTCTACAAAGCTTCCAGCTAACTGGAGGCCTCTGGTATGTGGCTATGGCTTCTCAAGTGTCCCTGAACAGAGGGATTTTCCTTATTTACACCTTGCTGGGAAATAAGAGAAAATGCAAGAATTGGGAAAGAATGCATATGGTTTAGCTATAATCCTATTTCTATAAAGAAACTATCTCAGATACGACTAGAAAACTAGGAAATACTGTTACGATAACACAGAAGTCCAACTGATTCCTGTCAGATTTTTCTTATCACATTAAAGTTATACCCTACCTACCAAGAAATGACAAAAGCCAGCCGTCAGCTTTAGCACTGATTACTACTGCTAAACCACGCTTCCTGTCTGTACATCTGATCCTTGTCTCCTAAATTTGCCAACCACAACCCTCAAATTCCCTCTCCACAAAGCTGCCATCATTTTTTTTTCTTTGCTACAGTAATGTGCTACATTTGGGAGTGGGAGACTGTAGCTTTTGTTTTCAGAACCTAATAGGTCCCCCAGAGACACTGACCAGGACAAAGTACTCCACTGGGGGACACCTGAGAAGCCTTAGGCACATACCAGAGGCCTCCAGTTGGCTGGAAGCTTTGCGGAGAAGGCAATGAAGGATGGAAATGCGCCTACTAGTTGGGACACCCATTTCAGGGCACAGAAGACTAAGGGAGCTGGAGCTCACTCACCTCAGAGACTACATTCCCCAGCAACCTTCCTAGTCCCTGAGAGAAATTCATTCACTGTGTTTTCATTTGTCTTTTTTATTCCAGTCAAATTTAAACAGGTTTTGAGACACCTGCCAAAATCTTTCACTATCTCAAAGCCTGTGCCTTTTAGGGTACATATGACAGACTTTTCAGGAATGCTTATTTCAAAAACACGTACCAGAGTTTCCTTATAACTTGGTGCTTCATAACTTGCATATTAATAATACAAAATCCAGCCATTTCAGGTTTGAGTGAAAAAGTACAATGCAAACACAGTAAAACTATTTGGTGACATGAAGAACTGACTAGTGCTGAAATTGATTCCCTCTCCCACCATCATTCTCCAGCACTCAACCAACACTGTTTACTACACAGCACGGCCACCATGTGTCTCCGAAGGCACAGGCTGCGTTCATGCAATGCAAAGCAACTGCAGAGTGAGATTTTACATGCTGAAGAAAGAGTGGAGACTCCTAGGTAAATGATATTAAAAATGGTAGCAAGTGTAAACTGGGCCAGTGAGGCATGAGAACAAGGCAGTTAGTTAATAACTAGAGACAGCTGGCAGCACCGGCCCTTGTAGGAGCTGATCTAACATTCCAAGCATTGAAAGAGATCTTAGGAGTACCAGCTCCAGTCCTGAGCCAAGGAGCTTTTCCTCACCATGACCCACAGCAGCACAGAATTTGAGAGTGCTGGTCTTTGGTTTGTGAACTGGCCTGCATGGACATATCTGTTTAAGAACAAGTTCTATTCCTGCAACTAGGTCATTAAAGTGAGTTGGTCGCCGAGGAATTATATGAGGAACTGTATATAATATGTACATTACAATATTCGCAACAAAGAAAATCTTGTTTCCCTGCTTGGCTGAAGTGCAAGTCTGGCCCCTACTTCTGCTCATGAAGGATGACATGCAAACATGCTGGGTCACCCAGTGACTACATGCACACTGAAATGAAACTTTGAAGAGTGTACGTGGGGACCAGGGATTTAGCTCAGTGGCTCAAGTGCTTGCCTGGCAAGCACAAGGTTGTGAGTCTGATCCCCAGTACAAAAAAAAAAGTGCATCTGCCAGATGTAGTGGAAACGACTCCAGGATGCTCCGGTCCTCAGTGGACAGTAAAGCACCCCTTCTGTACACATTACATGGTACGGTCATAAAAAAGTACTGTGTGGAAACTAACATGAATGAGAAGTAAGCATCTGGGCCCTGAGGAACATGGCAGGGTCAGAAGACATATCTGCATTAGTAGCAGTCCTGATCAGAAATGAAGTTTTAGTTTCTTTGCATTTTATGCCCAGCATTTTTGTCAAACATCTACACCAAATTATTAGTCATTAAATATTCACCAATTTTCTGAATACAACTACATATTCCTTTGGTGTGGTGGTGCCATTCAAAAATCACTGAGACACTGAGGTCAGTGAAGCAGCTCTAGAGAGGGCTGAGAACCTATGTGCTCAGATTCCTCTGTCTGGGCATAGGTGAGGGGCATCACAGCTCTATAGAGAAGTGAGTGAATACCACTGCCTTTTTGTCTGAACAGCTCTGTGTTGTTTAACCCTTACAAACACTCTAGTTTACTTAATTTAAAAAAAAATCTAGTAAAGAAAGTTTAAAGGGAAGTTCCTTTAAAAATCACAGTAACTCAATTTTTAGACCTCAAATACCAATCCCACATGCTAGTAGTCCAGTGATTTCTCACTTGGTAGTATTCAACAAACCAGCAATAGACAGAAAAAGGGCCAGAAGCCAGAGGGAAAATCTCACGGTGGTGGTGGTGTGTGTGTGTGGCGGGAGGATGATTATTTCAAAGTGAGAATGCCCTCTGTGGTGAAATTTAGTTTGGGAATTTAGGCTGGGAATGAATGCTTCCATATCCTTACAAATGTAATAACCAAAGCTGCCTCATGTGTCACTGGGAAAAATGAGTCCATTACATTTGAAAATTCTACACGTTATAAACAAATTTCACATGTACACAATGTGTATGTGTGCGTGTGAAATTTAAGAGGTATTTAAACTGGCTCTGTTGTACAAAATCCTTTGTTTGTTACACTACTGTAATACGTATTTTTTACACAGGTTATTCCACATTTCCAGAGCACCTATGTAAGTTTATGTAAATTTCTATATTCTATTCAGTCCAACTTGAGTTATCATTTTTATGCGGCCATACAAGAAACTTTCAGACATTCTCAAAGTTAAAAGAAGAAATTACTAAGTATGTAAGGAAGATTTTCCTTAAGAGGTCTTAATTATTCCCAAAGACTAAAAATGTGCTGTTTCAGAAAGCAAAATTACAGCAGCAAGATCAGTGGCACATATCTATACAATATTTTACTGGGTTACTATATTTTATACATAGTACATTTTACTGTGTTACAATATTATATACATAAAATATTTCTTCAAAAGCAGTTAGTATATCACCGATATATATGATATATTATATATATATATATGTATATATATATATATATAATTTTTTTTTTTTTTTTTTTTGGAGACAGTCTTGCTATGTCATCCAAGCTGGACTTGAATTTATGGTAATCCTACTGCCTCAGCCTTCCAAGTACTGAGATTATACATCTGTGTCATCTCTGGCAGATAACTTTAATTATAAAATGTCATGCTTCTTACTTTGAAGACGCAAATGCTGCATTTATAAAATCATTCTAGTATCCAATAAATACATATGCTAGGAATTTGTACAAACACTGTTCTCAGACATAAAGCTCTGACAACCTGCCAACCACTCCCAGCTCGTGTAAAAGTACAGAGATGAGAATAAACCAGTAATATGCCTAAAATGCTCCTTGACAGGTTATCTGCTCAAGGACACACTCCAGCAAACCCTGCCTATATACACTAACCTCCACTGACGTGTACTTCATAGAGTGAATACTTGGGAGAAGAGAGCATGCGCATATCAGGGCGGAATTTCTCCGCCAAAGTTTCAATCACATCCTGAGTAGTTGCAGTACTAGAGACCCGAATACATTTTGTTGCAAAGTTTCCAGCAGCTTTATCTTGAAAATAAAATCTCATCACTCCATGGAACTCCAGATCCTAAAAGAAAACAAAACAAGCAATTCAATTTTTACTGTCATAATAAATGGAAAATGTTATCCATCATTTTTAAAAATGTTTCTTTACATAAACATCTCAAAAACTAAGATTGATTTTTCAGCCTTACAGTTTTATTATCTGACTTTGTACAAGGTGTTTACAATTTCTCTTTGCCTGACTTGTCTTATGTATAAAACAACGGGTGTAGAGTAGCTGATGTTAACAACAGCTAACATTTACTGAGTCTGCACCAAGGGCTGTGGATACTATGAAATGCATTATTTCATCTGTCTTTATGATCACAGAGTTAAGTAGTTACTATCACTAAACCCTACTTTAAGATCCTGTCACTGAAATCATAAACCTAGAGTATATGTTCAACAAGATACATAACAGACACCGTATTAAAACTTATAACTACTGGGCTCTAAAGCACACATCTACACTGCCACAAGATCAACCTAGCTCTAACTTTCTGAAGCTTACATAAATAAAAGACTCTTTGAAAAAAGATTCTTTACACTTTCAAAGTGTAAACCCTCAATCCTATGAAACATGAAAGTACAAATTTCTCAGAGATTTGTCAATGAATAATCCCAAACTACCAGATTATCAAGGAGCCAAAAACAGAAACATCAACTGCGGCTAGGAAAGGTGGAAAAGAATGTCCTCTACCATCCAAAGAAAAAGTTACATAGATCACAGCACACAGGATCAGGTGGAGATAATCTACTCTATTGTCCTCACAAGGATTTCTTGCATATAAATTACTACCCATTACAACAAAATAGGAAACATAAATCTCGTACTAATACGGTTTAGTGATTCACCTTGCATAATATGCTAACAGGGGTGAGAGACAGAGAGAGAGAGACAGAGAGAGAGAGAGACAGAGAGAGAGAGAGAGAGACAGAGAGACAGAGAGACAGAGAGACAGAGAAAGGGAGGGAGGGCAGGCAGACCCAGGGATAGGGAGTGGGTAAGAATACAAGTATATCCTTACCCACAGTCCCATTCATGTGTCCAGAAAGTGCTAATGTTTAGCACTTGATAGAACATTCTCCAGGTTCTATTAAGCATAAGTATTCTATAAAACTACTTTGATTTTATTTGTACTACATAAGTGTTAATGCTTAGTTTGACATCACACAGAAATAATTTAAATATTTCTATAAGCAGAATATCTCCTCAAAAAAGTTAACATTTTGTGTAGTTTTATTCACATAAATCATGAATTTGGCCATTGGTATGTCTACAGAATTCTAGCAAACTGAGAGGACTAATAAAATCAAGTTCCTAAACCCGAATATTGGGTATGTGCCTTAATTTAGCACCTATTAATACTACTGTACATGTCAGGTACTAAGAATTTTGCATTTAATTCCTCTAAACAAGAGTTAGGTACTATCATCACCACCACTAAATGAGTAAGAAAAAAAAGAGGGTCCAGAAGGGTTAATTACACTGGCTACAGCCACATGACTCCCCTGAGCTCTGCTACCTCTGCTACCATAGGCACTGTGCCATTCAAAGAGATGATGATGTTAACGATTTTTCTTTGACCGGGTCACATCAGGTATGATAAAAAGAAAGAAATGGATAAATAGGAGAAAGAAATCTGAGGCCAAGAGGCTAGCACCCTATAGCAATCACCTACCAAGACAGAACTGGTATGCAAATACAGGGACTCAGGCTCCAATAAAACCAGAAGCCAAGCTCATCCCCACCCTCACCCACTGCTGGCCCACATACCTGTCCACCTGGAGTTTCCAGGGCAAAAGAAACAGGATCCACATTAATGCTACTACTGTGTCCTTGAATAAGTTATTTAATGACAAGGTGAACTCAAATATCCTCAATTATAGAATAAAAACAAGCTTGTTTGAGGATTAAAGATTACAGCAACTAGCATGCTAGGTGGCACACAGTTAAATGCTCAATAATTACAAGTTTGCTTTCTATACAGTCTCTCCCAGTAGAATACAGCTTTACTGAGGTAAGACTAAGTGTCCCCTATTCCCACCATAATGCTTTGTAGAGAACTATGGAAAGAAATTTGAGACAATCCCCCAACCAGTATATTTCCCTGAAAATAACACCAAGTTTTATATAAATTTTCACTCCAAAAAATCAAAACAGGACTTATTTTCAGAGACTGTCTCATGTACAACATTTATTCATGTACAATAATCCACATTTATTTGTGTACCCAAATCTAGGTTTATTCAAATATGGTCATTTCACCCTCTTTTGGAACAATATCGTAAGTTCAAATCCCAAATTCTGGTATAAATTTTTTGCAACTCCATTTCCTGTAGAATCATTGGTTGTTATCTCTCACGTTGAACAACACATGTTGGCCTTAAATGAATGTATTGGCAACACAGCTGTCAGTGATCTTATCTCATGAATTCTTCACCCAAATCACAATCTCTTGAAGACTAGACTTTACTAAATCAAGTCTTAACTGAAGACTTACAAGAAAGGAGTGGCAACAAAAATGGCAATTAACAATGATCTACACAAAAGCAACAAAAAACTCTTGCAGGCGCCAAAATTCAGAAAATGTTTCTTTATTTCACGTTAGTTCATTAAGTATGTCCGTCACAACACATGACATGTTGAATTATGAAGATTCATATTAGACACAACCACATCCATTTATTATCAAATGTACAATGTTATTCATCTGTGTTGTATCTGTACTTCAACTGGTCATTTGGCAATAAGTCTCAAACTTATCTCTTTACACAGATGTTTACTTCTTATCTGAAAGCATCCACATGGGTATTTACAAATAATTGTCTTATCATTTATATTACATAATAATGCAAATAACATTTGTATTTAGCTATATATTAATGTTATAACTTGATATCTCTGTAATGTGTTGCATGGCAGGTACTAAATACGTCCATTTGGTTGACATCTTAACTTTGACTTATTTGGGGGTCGGGCTTATATTATAAACATCTTTAAAATCATCCAAGGGCTTATTTTCTGGTTAGGTCTTATTTAGGGGAAATGTGGAAGAACCAATTCTTCCAGCTATGTTTGTTCATTCTCAATTGGTAACAACCCTGGAAAACAAAATATTAAATGTGTAATAAACCTACGAAGTCTCAAGAGCTGGGATAATATGTGGATATGAATGAAGAGCGGTCACTGCTGGGATGCTATTCTGGCAATGTGATTCAGAAGTGTTCAGAAGGGTCTAAAGATGCGAGATGGAGAAGCAATCACAGAATGCTGTGAGCCAAGCTTGCTGAGAGGTTCTGGTCAAGCTCAGAAGATGACAATGTTGATAGAAATGTAATCAGTAACAGGCTCAGGAGGCTGCAGTTAGGAACAGGGACTGCACTGACAGGTAGACTCTAGGCTACGTGGTACATGTTATGCTTGAGCAGAAAACTCAGCTGTGTTTTGCTTGCTCAGTTTTTTCAGGAGACTGAGATTCAGTGCGACAGACTGATTAATTGGTAAAAGAAATTTCAAGGCAGTCTAATATTGGGCAGTAGTATCTACTGCTGGGAGCTTTTAGCCAGATCTATGTTGCAAGTAAATGACTGAGAATGACTTTCAAACTTTGTGAACTTGGCCTTTTAAGCTCAGGTAAAGTGCTGCCTGCAAAGACAGAGCAGAGGAAAATTTGATTGCTGAAAATATTAGCATTAAAAAGTCAAGTATTTCTGAAATGGACAATAGAAAAGAGTGAGGGTATCACAAGAAACTGCAGGACTTTATCTTTTGCAGCCTCAAAACTACAAAAATGAAAGACTTTGCTTTGAGAAGACAGTCCCAAGACATCATGTCCCAGAATAGCAGTGGCCTAGTAATATTCCTCAGAATTAGGTTCACAACACTCAGCAAACCATTCACTACAATTAAAAAAGAAGGCAGTCATGCTACTGCTCTAACTGGTGGCAAATTTTGGCATCATCCACATGGTGCTGGTTTTAGGTGCATACAGCATGCAACAGCTGTGGGGTCAAAAACGATTCTGGCCAGATTTCAGAAGAAAGCTTGGGAGGCCAGGCAGCATGCTTCTGAAGGGACACTGCGTTAAGGCTCTAAGTATAAAATGGAAGGGACAGTGGAGATCCCAAAGGTCAGAGAAGCCAGGAATAGGGACAGTCTGAAAAAGCTGCCAGGAATGAGCAAAACTGGCCCAAAGAGAAGCTGTGAAGGCTACAACACTGGGAGCACTGTAGGGACAAAGCTATCAAGCCCTTTGGAATTTATATCTTGCCACAGACTGTACCAGATGCTGGATGTGGAACTATGGGATTTAATGTTTGCCCTGCTGGATTTCTGGTGTTGGTTTGGTCCCATTCCTCTCTATTCCTCTATTTGTATCTTTTGAAATGGAAACATTGATATTGTACCATTGTATGTGGGTTGTGTTTGACTTTCTTTTTATTTTTATTGTGGCTCACAGTCAAGAGTTTGCCTTAAATCTCATGGGAAACTTTGAACTTGCACTTTTTTGTAATGATCAAACTGTTAGGACTTTGGCAACTCCTAGAGATAGAGTAAATGCATTTTGCATAAAGGGATGTGCAAGAGATCCAAGGTAGAATGTTATGGCTTGTATCTAAATGCCTCCCCAAAGTGTCAGGCACTCATAGGTAGGGCTTTTGAGTGTGACTGGATTATAGGTGTATGATACGGAATCATGAGAGTACTAGATTAGTCCACTGATTGGTTTAGCATAGTTCTTCTGGGTTTTGGTTTTGCACACAGCCTACTGAAGAAAGAAGACCCACCCTAGGTATAGGTGACACCAACCAATAGGCTTATAGCCTGGATGGAATAAGAAAAGAAACAAGATGGACATTGTGCTGCTCCTGCCTGCCATGCTATGAATTATTTCTTCTCTGTCATGCCCCTCTTCTATGCTGCCCTACCTTAAGCCAGCCAACTGGACTGCAATCTACAAACTGTGAGATAACATAAAGCTTTTTTTTTTTTTTTTTTGGTCTTTTTTGAGCCAGGGTCTC